CCCCTCCCGCCGCCCCCGGGAACCTCTTATCAACGCGTCGCCCCCATTCTCCTCCCCACCTTCCACCCTCAGCGTTCCATACTTCGCACAATTGAGTGTGTTCTACGTATGTGTCCCGTTGGAGCAAATGCGTACCGGGTGTAACCGTGAATGCGCAGCAGTGTTGCGGGTTTGCCTACCAAATTCGCCAGTAAGGCGCCATGGCCCTTGCAGCCCTGGTGGGTATGCAATCCCGCAACACTGCTGCGCATTCACAGTTACACCCGGTACATTAGCCCGCATGCCCGCGTGCCGGAGGGGTCTTCATGGCGCCTCAGAAGCTCGGTGCCTGCAAGAGTAAAGGTAGGCCAACCCGCCCTACACATGTGCACCGTAGGCAAGATGTTGCCTACCTACCAGGCGCTAAGAGAGCTTGCAAGGGCTGAAATGAGCAGATTCGCTACGGAGAATGACGGACGTACTTTCTGGATGATCCCTTACGGCCCCGTACGAGTAGGCAACCCGTCCGCACGCCTGCAATGCGGGGCACGGTGACCACCATGAACGCAGAATTATCACTGCCGACGATGGATTCCAAGAAAGGATAGGAATCCGGAAGAAACAAAACAAAAAACTTGATACGTTCTTCAAAGTCACTTTCGCTTTTTCCTTCCTGGACGGCGTGTGTCGTCGCGCCGGTCTGTTCCGCGGCGCGGGCAGCAGGTAACGCCCGTCGCGCCCGTCCTTCCCCCTCGCACCGTCCGGGCGCACCGAGCGCAGGCGGGAGACGGCAACAACAAACTGCGCAGCCTTGCTTCGGACGCAGCTTCACATGCTCCACGCTTTCCCGCCTCGCGCGCGATTTGGGTGGACGCAAAGCACAACAAACGCGGCGGTGGGTGGCGCGAGGCGCAGCGTGGCGCAGCGTGGCGCAGCGTGGCGTGGCGCGCACGCAGGTCGCCCCGCCCGCACAATGCCCTTCTAATTGGCCGCGAGTGCTCATGACAACCGTAACCTCTTACGCGTTTTGCACTCCTCGCTTTTACACAATAGCTGGTTCTGAAGTGCGCCGGAGCGGAGACACATACTATACCCAGCTCATCGTCTGCAGCGCGTGGCCCCGGTAAGTTATTTCTTTCGAAACGCATCTACTTGGGCGTCTCGTCCTGGATTTTCTACGCCCTATTGGACGCGCGCCCAAACATCGCCCCGGGGCGGCACTTGCTTCGCTTGCTTCTGCGAAGCAGCAACGGCAGCAGTCTCTTAGATTGTCTCCTCATGCCAAGCAGCAGCAGCCACTCAACCGGCAGCCATGCAGCAATTCCCATCGAATGGAGGAGCCTTGGCGTGCATCGCGGACCGCCGGCGGCGTCCTCACGGGTGACGTGCCTGACGCGCCGCCCCCCCCCCCCCAATTACGTGCCGCACGTGCCTGAGCAGGTCCAGCCCGCCCGCCGGGCATCCTCCGTGATGGCCAACCGGAGCATGACGGTGTGTGCGGCTCCACGTCGTCGTCGTCGTCGTCGTCGTCGTCTGATCGTCATTATCGTCCTCTCGTCGTCACCGCCTTCTGGTCGTCGTCGTCGACGTCTCCTGATGGTCATTGTCGTCCTCTCGTAGTCGCCGCCTTCTGGTCGTCGTCGTCGTCGTCTTCTGATCGTCGTCCTCGACGGCGACGGCGTTCGTTTCGCCGCCGTCTGCTCGGCGTGCTTGTCGGTGCTGACGCTGTCCTCTCCTAAGAGCCGCTCCTCCGTGGTCGGATCCTATCGCCCCGGCCCGAGCCCCGGCCGCAGCCTCCCCCGGTGGTCCTCGTCTCCCTCCTCCAGCTCATCCCGGTGCCGACGGGGCGGTATCTCTCGCCGTCCGGACGGTACTTTGGACGCGGCATTACTGTAGTTTTACATTGCTGATCGGGGGGAAAGGGGGGGGGGGGGCACCGGCGACGACGACGCCCCCTGTCACGACCTGACGGCGGCGGGACCCGGGAGGGAGGGGTGGAGGGCGAGTCGTGCGATCTCTATCGGGGAGGCACGCACCGCTCGGCTCGGCGGCGAAAGGAAAGGACGAGCGGCAACGAGCGCGATGCACAAAAATCCGGGAATCCGGTGAGATGGCGTGGCGTGGCGTGCCCCCAGGCCCTTGCAACCAGCAGAGCCGGTCCTTCTTATGGCTGATTCAGTTAGGAGGGCCCTAGAAAGCGTGCCCGCCCCCGGCCCCGACCCGACCCGCCGATGAAAGGACCCTGATCTGGATTATAGGATACGGCAGAGGCCCTACAGCCTACGGCACAGCCCCAGAGCCGGGCGGCGATGCTGCTCCAGAATATCAATCATCGGTCACACACTTGCGGAAGTGGCGCGGCCAGAAGGGAAGGGCCTGCGCGAGAGGAAAGGAGGGGGGGAGGACGGGGCGGTGTAGGCGATTTGAAAAGCTGCACCGATCGTCTGGACCTCTTTTCCTCACGCATGCCCTCACTCTCTCAAATGAGTGTACGGACTACCATCGCATAGCAGAGTCTCTCTCTCTCTCTCTCTCTCTCTCTCTCTCTCTCTCTCGCACACTCACGCACACATGCGGAGTAAAGGGCGCGCTCGTTGGCCACGCCGCAGCGGCAGCGAGTAGTTTCCACGGCGCTGGAATGGGTTATTGGTCGGGGCTGCCCTCGCTCACGCCCTGCCGAGCGCAGGCCCGCCAGGCCCGCAGCTGCAGAGCCCGAGGAGCCTGCAGAGCCCGGTGGTGGCCTCAAATCATGAAGATCATGAGGCAAATTCCTCCACGGAATCAACGACTCCTCTCAACACACGAGTCGGCGCGCAAACGAGCTTTTTGCCGCTCGCAGCGCGAGAGGGGCCGCTGTGCCGCCGTGCCGCGCCTCCCGCACGTCTTCCACGACCCCACGCCTCCCTCAAAGGTCACCGCGCTGCCGGCCCGGCGGGTACGTTCACTCCTCGTGGCCGCCCCCAGGCCGCGGGGCTGCGAGCCGTGCGCCAACCCCTACGCGCGCACCCCCGCCGACAAGGCCGGAAGTTGTCCGGAAGGGCCTTCTAAAGCGCCGTAGGGGTGAATGGTGCAGAGTGATACAGACAACAACTAGGCAGCCCCTTAGAGTCGGTGAGTCAGGCCCCTCTCATGTCTCCCACGCATGCGATCAAGATATGTTTCCGTGAGGGGGCGGTTGTCTACCACTGCGGAGGATCAGGGAACATGGAGGGAGACTTGTGTCGCGCCGATTGTCTAACTTCGCGGGGGTTATTCCCTCGAGCTCGACCGAAGCGTGGGTGTGACGTGTACTAACTACCCTCCCAGGGTGCAGGCTCTGCAGGTCCTCGATGACGACAGGCGACACAACAGGCAGAGCCCACACCGCCCAGTCCCCAGTCCGGCTTGGGTTGGGCGCAGAGAATCCATTTGCTCCTCGGACCGTGGGCGGGTAGGGTCTGGTCGGCAAGAGGCAGGGCGTGGCGGGGCGTGGCGGGGCGTGGCGGGGCGTGGCGGGGCGGTGCCTCTCCTACCTCAGAGGAGCAGCAGCAGAGAACCACTACGACGCGGCCGTCGCGACGACAACGACCAAAACGAAAAAGAAGCACTCGAAATGAATTCAAAAGCGTAAAAAGAAGCACGGGACGACGACGGCCGCCCTCCCCGCCCCTCTCTCGCTCCCGTTGGACCGTACGGACGCAGCATCTCCGAGTGTATCCCTTCCGCCGCCGCAAAACAAGACATCAGCAGAGAGGAGAATAACGCGAAAAAAAAGCAACAAAAAAACTTACCTTGAGAACGTAATCCAAACAGGCGTCGAAAAACCCACACACGCGTTCAGCGCGGCCATACACACCCGCCTGTCATCAGGCACAGAAATGAGGAACCGACCGCAGCACAAACACTTGCTGATCACTGGTCTCCAGCAGACGACACCGCGGAGTCTCGACGCTCGCAAAGACGACGGCGTCGTCCGAGAGGTTCAGAGGTTCCCGCGCGCAACGTCTCGTGTAGAGCGGGACGCGACCGGACCGGCTGGACGGACGACAAGCACCGGGCTCCTCTCTCTCCAACACCGCATGGCGGACTGAGCGCGCGCGCGCGCGCGGCTCGGCGGCGCGGAGCGAGCGGCTGCACCGGGGGGCCGGCACCCGTCTCTCCCCCC